ACAATAAAATGACAAACACATGACAAAGAAATGAGAAAAAAATGACAACGCAAATCCATAATGACACACCCAAATGCAAAAAAAAATGACAAAATAATTATTTTGGAATTTCCAATGTTTGCATGCCCAAAATTTTCCCAAATTTAACGGAGTTTTTTTCATTCACTGGAACATAAGCAAAAAGACGAAGACGCAACAACCCCATGTTTCCTCTTAGAGTTCCTAATGGCTAAGACGGAGTAATTAAGGACTAGATTTTCCATGACCCATGCCTTAAGAAATTATTCCAGGGTATCAACTAGGTTATGGAATAATTTCTTTTGGAATAATTTTCAAGGAATAATTTTTGAGGGGGGTAGGTATACGATTATGCATGTTGGAATTTGAAAATCATGATCCAGCCCGTCAAGATACCCCGGAATAATTAGGTTTTGGAATAATTTTTGGTAACTTAAAACATCTTGAAGCAGCCTATACTTCCTACATTTGGCCTGGCCTTTCCAAAAGCCATTCCTAGCTTGGCGGTGTTTGCCTGAAAACTTTTTGCTGGAAATGCCAATTGCAGTTATTTAAGGCATCATGCAGTTTGGGCAATTGCTGCCAACCTTTTTTTGCAGCATACTTGCACGCACAACTAGTGTCGACCGGACCACCTTTCTCTCACGGTACTTTCTCTCGAGAGCTCTTTGGGTGGCAATGAATGGGGAATGTTAGCAAAATACCTAGGAAAAGGCCAGGTTGAGTGCCATTGTGTGGGCTTTCCCCAGGGGGGAAATTATTCTAGGGGTATTGGAGATGCCTGGTACCCCTCAAAAACGAAAGCGGACAGCTAATCACAAAATTAGCCCAGAAATTGGCAAGAATTGCCAAAAAAACAAATGAAACCCCACACATTTCCCACCCATTCCCACTATGGCCAACGGGAGTTTTTTGGAAGGAAATGAAGGGAATATGGAAGAAATAGGGGCGCGGACGCAAAGTTGGGAAAACCTCTAGAAGAGAGCCAAGTTGTTTTTTTTCTCCGGGCTTTCCCCAGGGGAGAAATTATTCTGGAGGTATTGGAGATGCCTGGCACCCCTGAAAAACAAAAGGGGGCAGCTGCTACAATCACAAAACAAATCCAGAAATTTGCAAAAAAATTAACCAGTGACAACCAAATATTTTGCTTTTCCCACTCATTCCCACTAAGGCCAGAACCACCAAACTAGCCCAGTTTCAAACACCCAAAACAAACTAAAACCATGTTCAGCCAGTGGGTTGCTGAGAGGAAATTTGTTTAAAGATACTATCCTGACTCTTCTTGATCCTATCTGAGTATGTTGAAAATTGTTTAAATTTGTGCCCCAGCTCTGCAAGAAGGGAAACCGTTTTCGGCCGTTTGCGCGCAGCTGCTTACGATCACTTGCGTTTGGCTAGAAATAGACTATACCGGTATCATTTTGATGGAAATTATTCCATTTTTCCATATGAACTCATGAGTTCTTAGAATAATTTATTTTTTTGAACTCAACGGGTGCCGGAATAATATTATAATTATTCTGAGGTATGTTGACGGGGGTATCCCCTTAAGGCATCCCTCATGATTTTCCCATTTGTTCACATTTGCTGACCACGCTCGCAATCAAAAACGAACACAAAAAAGGTGCGGGGAAAGGTTCAGATATATCAGATATATTTATTTATAGTATCCTATTAGCCTTGTGATGCGATGTAATGCAATGCAATGTAGCGTACTGTAGCGCAATTTATTTTAGATAAATATACCAGTAGTACCGCACAAGGCAGCAGCGGAAGTTTCAAAAAAACGGAAACCAATAGGAAGGGCTGGCTGTTATGACTCCCCGGATGGCAGAGGGAATCCACTGATGGACCGAAGGGTGGTTGGAGTTGTGTTTTCTAGAGTGGTTGCAATGGTTGCAGTGGTCACCTCACCACAGCTGCTGGATGTAGTGTGGTGTAGTGCGGTTGTAGTTGCAGTCGTATGTGTAGTTGTAGTGTAGTGGAGTTGTAGTTGCAAGTTGTAGCTGTAGTGTAGTGTAATTAGTGTAGTGTAGTTGCAGTTCCAGTTGTTGTGGTGTGGTGCAATTAGTGTAGTGTATTGTAGTGTTGTGTTCTGTAGCGTGGTATAGTGTAGTGTAGTCTAGTGTGTTGTAGTGTAAAGTAGTGTAGTTGTAGTTGTAGCGTAGTGTCGTGTAGTCCAATTTAGTGGTAGTTGCAGCTGTAGCGTAATGTAATGTAATTAGTTTAGTGTAGTGTTGTGCAATGTAGTGTAGTTGTAGTTGTAGTTGTATTTGCATGTGTAGCTGTACTCTACTGCAGTTTAACTGGTGTATTGTAGTGTAATGTAGTGTGACTGCAATTGTAGTTGTAGCTGTGGTGGTGGTAGTGGTGGTGGTGATGGTAGTAGTAGTAGTAGTAGCAGTAGTAGTGGTGGTAGTAGTAGTAGTAGTGGTGGTAGTAGTAGTAGTAGTGGTGGTAGTAATGGTGGTAGTGGTAGCTGTGGTAGTAGTGGTCGTAGTGGCATTGAGATGTTGATAAAGTGCACGCCGTTGTGGCGCGAAGCACATTTCGAAGTCAAAATGTACAAAACACCTCAGCTTCGGACCACTTTTAGAAATTGAGATGTTCAAAAAATGTACGCGGTTGTGGCGGGAAGCACATTTCGAAGTCAAAAGTGAAAAAAACTGACGGGTACGGACCACCTCTGGACGTTCAGATGCCGTTTTGCGTGGCAGGCGCAAAGGTGTGCACCTTGACATAAGTGAGCAAAACGAGAGGGTTTTGTAGCAGTTTCAAAAGCGCTGGCAGGTGTGGGGCATTTGAAGAGAATCTGCAAAGATGCAGCTCGCATGGCAGGCGCAGGCCGCTGATTTCCTGAGAGGGGTTTCATTTTGGAGCATCAGATCTTCAGGTTTGCTAAGAATCATAAAGGGCGCTGTGCTAAAGTTTGCAATCAAAATATCAAAGCGCTAAGAAAAAATGCCGCGTATTTTTCGAAATTTGGGCACTGCGTGCGCGACTTGCCGTTTTAAGGTAAATTTGTAGACGTTCCGAACCCACCCGTACGTTTTGATGAACACAATGAAAACCTAGCCTTATAACCCCTGAATCCCTCTAGGATGCCAAATTCAGGACATAGTTTTCTGACGCTTTTTAATATGGTTTTTGATACGGTTGGAAGATATGAACTTGATACGCTTTGAATTTGGGCTTGTGATTTCGATATGGTTTTGGTATGTTTTTGATATGGTTTGGGTTATGGTTTAGATATGGTTTTGGAATGTTTTGGATGTTATTTTGATATGGTTTTGATATGGTATGGTTTTGATATGGTTTGGGAACGGAGCGCCTTTTTCAGGGTTCCTGACGGGGTGGCTTCAAGAAAGGAAAGGGAAACAGCCCCGGGACAGCCTTTTGGTCGATTTCTCGAGGGTTTTGGTGGTTTTGATATGATTTTGCTGTGGTTTTGATATGGTTTTGATACGATTTTGATACGATTTTGATATGATTTGATATGGTTTTGATACGGTTTTGATATGGTTCCAGTGAGTTGGCTTCAAAAAAAAGAAACAGAAACAGCCCAGGGACAGGTTTTTGGTCGATTTTTCAAGTTTTTTTTTTGGGTTTTGATATGATTTTGATATTTTGATACGATTTTGATACGCTTTTGATACGATTTTGATACGATTTTGATATGATTTTGATACGGTGTTGATATGGTTCCAGTGAGTTGGCTTCAGAAAAAGAAACAGAAACAGCCCAGGGACAGGTTTTTGGTCGATTTTTCAAGGGTTTTTTTTGTGGTTTTGATTCGATCTGATTTTGATACGATTTTGATACGATTTTGATACGCTTTTGATACGATTTTGATACGATTTTGATATGGTTTTGATACGATTTTGGATATGGTTCCGATGGGTTGGCTTCAAATCACAAGTTTGACCCACATCAAGAATCATAACTGAAACCATATCAAAATCATATCTAAAACCGTATCAACATCATAACTGCAAAACCACGCCAGAAACAATTCATAACAGCAAATCATATCTGAAACGTATCAAAATCATAAAAACTTTTATTTTGAAATACTTCATCCTAGAGATTTCGGATGTTATAAACCTAGCCGCAGTTAACATACCTCGCGGACTTGCATACGTAGATGTGCGTGATCGCATGTCGAAAAATCGTTTTTTGCGACACTTGCAGTACTTCCGCATGGTCTTCTTACAATGACTGCCGTTTTTCATCCACAGGCACAGCACTTCAGATATGTCCCTGTCAGTCCATGTCCTTTTTTTGGTGACACGCACAGCACTTTAGACGTGTGGTGTTGTGTGTCTTTTGGCAAATCGTAGTGGAGCTGCCGCATCAAGTGGTGGGCGCAGTACGTCGCGAGAGTGCTTGAAACACTCAGTGTTTCCAACTTGCGTTTTCCCGGTTGGCATGGCTACGCGTGGTGCGTTGCTGCGTTTGTCTTTACTGCAGCATGTTGCAATATTCAGTTGCCAGACAGCCCAAGACGTGAAGTCTTGTGAAGATTCGCAAAGTACCCGTCCGAGCCAGCAGCCAGCAGTAAACATGAACCTGGGAATACCTGGGATACAAACAACTCTCTGGCCCCAGACACGGTTGTCCCAGTGGGTGTTCTGTGCATCGCTATCTCGGAAGCTTCCGTTTTGATCCGTTTTGTTGCCGTGTTGAACACTCATTTGATCATTGATCGAGCTTTGAGGCTTCAAGCTGGAGCACTTTGGACGCAGTTCAAGACCAGGAAGTTGCCGTGTTGCACTTGTTTTTCCATGTTTTTCCGTGTGAATTGAGCTCTCAGCATTTGCAACGCGTGGAGAAGATGTTGCTGCCCGTCAGAGATGCGTTGTGCACTCCAAGGCAATGGTGTTGAAAGAGGTGGTTTTCTCAAGATATCAAAAGAACCCAGCAGGCTCCTGCGCAGGAGTGCGCAACGGACAGAGAAGTGACAGCCACAACGCAAGACTGCAAATGACAGTCTAGCACGTCTCAAATATGAGATTTAATTTTCAAATTACAGGGAAGTGACATCAATTGGCTGTCAATCTCATCAGCATGCAGCGAACCTGGCGCAGGACATGCAAACGATGGTATCGGTGGAGATCGTTGCCTGCCTTTTGACGCTTGCTCAAGAAGTAGCGTTGAAAATTTTAGGAAAGCCAGCCGACAGGCAAGGCTGAGTTGTTGGTTGCGAACGTAGTGAGTATTTATAGGGGCCTGGGCGCCATTGCTGGTAAAAAGTCGCATTTCAATTTGATTATGTCGGAAATCTGGTGACCGCACAAGGCCGTTTTCCAGGCCATGTACCTAGTGACGGTAGGGCTTCGATTCCCCCTGGTCCACCTCCGGGGCAAACTGTGGGGCTGGGCAAGAAGGGTTTTGATATTAGATGAACCATGCTGAACCTCAACGGCTGATCTAGTCCAGTGGGCTTCGAATTTAAGGCCTGACGGAAAGAGCCCTGCTGGACCTCAACGGCTGATCTGGTCCGGTGTGCTTTGCATTGAAGATGCTTGAACGTTTTTGTCGGATTTGGGTGAATCCTCTGATGGATGAAGCGCTGCGGGTGATATGGCCTGAGGGAAGGGCCATACTGAACCTCAACGGCTGATCTGGTCCGGTGGGCTTCGCGGTGAAGGCATGAGGGGAAGAGCCATGCTGAACCTCAACGGCCGATATAGCCTGGTGGGCTTCGCATTGAAGATGCTTGAACATTTTTGTCGGATTTGGGTGAGGCTTCTGATGGATGAAGCGCTGCGGGTGATATGTCCTGAGGGGAAGAGCCATGCTGAACCTCAACGGCTGATCTGGTTTGGTGGGCTTCACATTGAAGATGCTTGATTTTTTTTTGCCGGATTTGGGTGAAGGTTCTGATGGACGAAGCGCTGCGGGTGATATGGCCTGAGGGGAAGAGCCATGCTCAACCTGAACGGGTCATCTGGTCTGGTTGGCTTCGCATGGAAGGTGCTTTTTCATTTTTGTTGGATTTTTTGTTTGGCGCTGAAGATGGCTAAACCGCATGCGACCCAGTCAGGTTTAGGGTGTGGCGATGGAGATGCGGGTGAAAGACGGACTCGAGTTGCTTGCCGCATGCGAGGTACATTGACCTACACAAGTTTTTTGCGACAGGTTGGCGGCTGGCGGTAGTCACTAAAGCTAGCTTCTGCTAGCTGAAGCCCCTCTTGCTTTAGCAAGGTATTGAGGGGGGCTGGAATCTCCAATCGCGAGAAACTTCTCAGTTAACTATCCCCCCTCCCCCCTCCCCCCCTCCCCCCTCACAAGCAGTTTGGCCGTGCGCTCAACACCCGTCAGCAACATCTCCGCACTCCGCACTCTACACTTTGCACTCCTGCATTCTTAAACTCTTAACTTTCTGCTCCACACTTTACACCCCGCACTCCACGCTCTACACTTTACACTTGGCACTCCACACTCTAATTTTACACTTGGCACTCCACACTCCACCCTCTAACTCTACGCTCCGCACTCTACACTTTACACTCCACACTCAACACTTTACACTGTACACTCCCACTCTACACTCTGCACTCTGCACGCTACACTTTAGACTTTACACTACACTTCGCTTTTTTACACTTTACACTTGACACTCCACACTCCACAAAAACTTACATTTTACACTTCATGCTTTACAATTGACACGCACCACTCTACACTTTACACTCCGCACTCTAGACTTTAGAGTTTGCACATTGCACTTACTTTACATTCCACACTATACTCTCTACACTCCACACTTTGCATTCTACATTTTCCAACTGACACCCCGCACTCTACACTTCACACTTTCCATTTTACACTCTACACTCTACGTATTACACTCTACACTTTACACTTCAGGCACTAAACTTTACACCACGCACTCCACACTCTACACTTTACACTCCGCACTCTACACTTTACGCTCCACACTTTACACTTGACACTTACACTTTACACTCCACACTCTCCACTCTATACTTTACACTACATTTTACACTTAACACTTTACAGCTGACACCCCGCACTCTACACTTTACTCTTTACACTTTAAACCCCGCACTCTACACCTTACACTCCAAACTCTGAACCCTACACTCTACGCATCACACTCCACACATGGCCCTGCGCACTCTATATACACTTTACACTCCGCGCTCTACACTTTGCACTTTTTATTTTGCAGTCCACACACTCTATATACACTTTACACTTCACACTTGACACTCCACACTCTACACTTCACACTCCACACTCGACGCTCTACACTTTACACTCCACACTCTACTCTTGACACCCCACACCCCACACTCTACAGTCTACGCTTTACACTCCACACCACACCTTACACTTTATACACTGTGCACTGTTTGCCCACACTCTATACTTTACAGTCCGGACACTTTACACTTTCACACTTTACACTTTACACCTTGCTCTTCACTTTTCACGCTTTACACTCCACACTCTACACTCTACACCTTGCACTCTACACTTTGCACTGCGCACTCTACACTTTACACTTTGCACTTCACGCACTTCACGCACTACACTTTACACTACCTACTCCACACTCTACACTTTACACTCCACACTTTACACTTGGCACTCCACACCCCACACTTTACACTCCACACTCTACACTCAATACTTTACACTTTACATTTTTCACTTCACACTTTACACTTGGCACTCTGCACTCTAGACTTTATTCTTTACGCTTTACACCCCACGCTCTACACTGTACACTCCAAACTCTAGAGTTGACATTCTACACCTTATACTCTATACTTGACACTGCGCACTGTATATGTATATATATATATAAATAGATATATATATATATATGTGTATATATATATGTGTGTATATATATATATATACGCTTTACACTCCACACTACGCTTTACACTTCACACTTGACACTCCACACTCCACACTCTACACTTCACACTCCACACTCTGAACTTTACACTCGGCACTCTACACTCTACATTTCACACTCCGCACACTACACTTTACACTCCACACTACACTTGACACCCCACGCCCCCACACTTTACACTCTACACTTTACACTCCACACTCTAGACTTTACATGTCACACTGTGCACTGTACACTGTACACTGTACGCTCCACACTACGCTTTACAATCCACACTCTACACTTTCCAGTCCGCATTCTACACTTTACATTTTACACTTTCACCTTACACCCTCACAACTTTACACTTTTCACACTTGACTCTGTATGGAACCTTGGCCTAGCTTCATTTTCATGTTGCGCACCTACACCTACCTCTCGTCCTCAACTTCGGCTTTGCACTGCGTTACTTCTTCCCGCGCTTCCAAAGGTCCATTCCGATGCCGAAGGTGGACCTTTCCATCTTCCCCAATCACTTGACAATGGTGCTTGAATGCACGTTCAACCTTCGCTGGCTTTCGTTCCCACCCTCTCAGGAACTGTGACAAAGTTTTGATATTACAAAAACAACGCTTATTCGCAAACTGTGATGAGGGAACGCGCCACGGGAAAAATGGTTTTCCTTCACATGAAGATGTGTCGTGAGTAGCGCCGCAGTTGCAGAGTAATTCGACGTCAATGGATTGGCATATCTACGCATGCTATTCGCCAGCATCGAAGAAAACCTTCTAGTCCGCACCAATCACGGATCATGGTCTGTGTTTTTCTAGCATTGAATTGTTGGATTTGCGGCCGGAAGAAATGCGCGTCTATCATAAGGTTGATTAAATTCGTTTTCTGTCGGAGATTTTGAATGAAAGCAGGCTCAAAGACCAGAAACATCCAGAGAGTGTGTTTGAACAACTTTCAATTAGAGCGTTTGGAAAGGAGTCTGCCATGAATGATCGTAAGTGGCAGATTTCCAACTAACACCAGCCCGAGACCAACATCAATAGCCAAAAGTCACTGCGTTTGTAGTCACAAAGTTTAAATCGCGTGACAGAGTCATTTATGTTCTTCCTGTCAGCACATATGTCCGAGAACACTGGCTTGCATATCAAATATCAATGTTACTTGTATCCGCTTCTGAGATTTTGTAATGATCTTGTGACATCGTGAGCCAACAGATCCCAACAGCTGCGCAGTCAGGATCCTGCACTATTCCTGACAGCAGGGACAGGTTGCCGCCTTCTTGTTCAGTTTTTGGCCTGGCCTGTTTTTCAACAACTCACGCAAGGTTTGAGTCTCAGGACAGGGTCCACGGATGTGCTCTTCATCAACATTAGCCAGTAACATTTAGTCAGTTTAATCGATTTTAATCGAGAGTTTTTAGCTGGATTCAGACCAGCCCTCCAGAAGGTGTAAGGATGTTTGCAAGCGAATAAGAAAATATGTGGACATTAAATTTGTTTAAAAATGTTGAAACATTTAGAAATAACAAAGTGCATATGACGCATCAAGGGGCCTCAGTCTTCGTGGCAGGTCTGAAGGTCAAATATTTCAGCACACACCACAAATCTGTTCCAAACAACCTGTTTGAAGCCTTCCGCATGGTTTCAGGAGTTGTTTTGCAGCTGGTTTTCAAGCAATGCAGCAACCTTCAGTTCTACCTCTGGTTGTGTTCTACATTGCAGCAAATGCGTTTGCCTTATTCGTTTTTTGAACCGTGACAAGCGCTGGATCTTTGAGTGAGTCCATTTTGATCATTTTGTTTTATAAGAGCAATTATATGTGCAATATGTATCAATATCTGCAATGCTTTTCATATCTTTTCATATGGTGCAGTGCAAGCCTTGTTCTGCCCCGCAAAACGTTGAGGTGGCCTTGAGCATCACCGCCCTGTTACTTGTGCAGAAGACTTCCGCTGCTGCCACCGTCCTGGCCAATGTCGCACCAAAGTTGCACCGGAGAGGTTTTCTAAAGATTCTAAAGTGTTTTTTTATTTTGTTCATGTTTTATTTGGAATATGTTGGAATGTTTGTCCACCTTACAGTTGTTCTAAGTTGAGAGTTTGGACGCTGAGTCTACTGAGCCTACTGAGTTTACTGAGTCTACTGAGTACTAAGGTGGCACTACCTTTGAGTGCCCTTGTTTTTTGCCTGCCGCTCCCACTGCTGGAGCAGCAGGCTGAAAGACAAATAAACAATGAATTTGAAAACACCAGAAAGGATTGACATGATTGAGTGTACACACAGTGTTGTCATTATATGTCATTGTGATCAGGTGGAACAAAGTAATGAAAGTGCAACCTAGATTTCACAGCGCGGCTCAGGCCGTCAGAGTGCATACGTGCCCTTACATTCCCTTGCATTCCATTGGATTGCATCTTACATTGACCAGCGTGGCCTAGCATTGCAAAGTGCTGCATTGACACATCCACTACATCGGACTGAGTCAGTTTGCAACATAGATGCGTGATGATGCGTGTGCATACATCATGCATAATTAAGTACATGCATATATTGGACGCATTGCATCATTAGAATCATTTCAATCAGATAGAAATAGTTTATAACATCTTGCAACATATCACATCATATCACAGCATTCATCCGGACACATCGAATGCATCCACACATCCATCCCTCCATCCATCCCTCCATCATCTCTATCCATCCCTCCATCCACTCTTGCATGCGTACATGTCTACATACCTTGCCTTTCCTTTCCTTACCTTGGCTTACATTACATTGCATTACAATGCGTTACATTAGATGCATACATGGGGCTTGAATTTGCACCGATCTGTGACTTCATTCGTTACATTGCGTGGTACGTTTCCCGCTTTATATCCAACAAACATGTTGAGACATGTGGCGACTTTTTAGCTTTGGATATCTGTATTTTTGTTCATGTGAAGGCGTCCCCCCAAGGCAGATAGTCAAGGTTTTCCCAGTTTGCAAAAGGTATCCAGAAGAGTCTTGGAAGCTGGGTTTGGACAGTGAAGCTTGCATGTGTGCAAAAACGATTTTGCATTTTGTGGCTGTTCTGTGCTGCCTTTGAGTTGTGCGTCGTTTTGCTTTGCCTATCTCCTTCCTGCTTTTCCTGTGGCAGGCGTTTCATTGGCAATTTGCAATGAGTTTAGTGCTAATTGTCCTTGGGAGCCTCAACTGCACTAGGCAAACGTATGCAAACGTTATATAGTCGACAGAAGCCGGTACAAGTAGCATCCAGTCATCCAGTAGCCAACTCGCGCAACTTGTTTTGTTCTCTTGCTGACGAGGAACTTGCTCTACAGTCACCGGTCTCTGAGAGAGTGATAGCTTGAAGACGCTTCAAGGTGAACTGAAACAAGGTGTGCCAAAGTCGCCACTTGCACTGCGTTCACATTCGAGGTCCTAATAGTAGCTTGATAAGATTAGAACACGGGATAGGTTGTGATTGTGATCCTATTATTGCTTCTGACAGCTATGCTGCATGATGAAGGAAAAGGATGGGCTGCAAGGGAAGTGGCTGCGGGATCAGTGCTGCATGCAATAGATGTGGGGTTGAAGGGCCAAGCAATCAGGACCAGTATCAACCTGGCAAATCCTCTTGTAAGAAGCACCTCACTTGATACACTAAAAGTTGTTGCTTCCGCCACAAACGAACCTGACACAGATTGACACAATGTCTATACATGTCTATACGTATTGTTTTCTACAATCGGATTGCACCAGTCTTTTCTCGCTCTTTATTGGATTTGTTTCGACAAGCATGCAATGTATATATATATATAATCCCCCCCCTTTAACCCTGGAATATTTGGGGGGGGTGTAAGGCAAGAAAATTCTGAGAAATATTTCACCTGACCACGTGAAATATACCCCCCCACGTATTTTTTTGGGCTTCTAAAAGACGTGGGGGGGGTTCCTCCGGACGCTGTTCCTTTTTGGACCTTTTTAGTCCTTACGCGGGTAGGGCCCACGCGCAAACACTGACAACTAGGTAAATGGTAACTGCCGGTTTCCAAGAAAGTAAATAAGAGAGTGAACTTGCCAAACAGCCTTCAGAACATGACGTTCAGCCTTGAATTCAACCACGCCCAAAGCCATTATAGACCAGAATTTTTTTGCTGAAATATTTCACTTTAGGGAGGTGAAATATTTCTAGGTGTGTGGGGGGGGAGACCCCCCCCTAAAGTGAAATATTTCAGTTTTTACCCCCCCCCACCCCCCCCCCCTTAAAGGGGGGGGGATTATATATATTATGAAGTATTATCCAATCAGTATACGAAATGGTATCTGGCTGTGAGGTCCTGTGATGATGTGAGAGCATGAGCCTCAAATTTTCAGAATAGAAAATGTCGTACGGTATGGAATTGAGTAGATATTGAGTAGGGACTTTCAATATCTCTCAATATCGCTCAATATCTCCTATACAATATCTCATGCTGCTGAGTCCTTTCTGGAGTCACAAAAAGTCCTAAAATTCCTCCATTTGCATCCATTTGCACCGTGTTGTTTTGGTGCGCTGACGCGCTGCGCTGATATCCTCAATGACACTGCTCCTGAGGAGAACATGCTTGAGACACTTACGACTCAGGATTCAGGCCTGAGATTAGTTGTTCGCACATATTTGGAATATACATTATATATAATTATATACAATTATATATATATACATATTATACATACATATTATATCATATTATACAATATTATGTAACATTATATATACATGTGATTGTACATACATTTGATTGTATATACATATGATTGTATATACATATGATTGTGTATTCACGCATGATATTATGCAGACTTGTTTGTAGGTTTCTTGCACGCATTTTGGAGAGACCATCCATCGCGCACGCTCAGATTTCTATGTGGCCTTGATGGATGATGGGATCAAGTTGGACTTGTCGCACTTTGCACCGTCAAAAGCTTGGCGTTGCAATCTGACCGCAGAACTGCGTGTCAAGATCACTGACTGTTCTTGCTCTTTCTTTTGAAGGGACTACTGTGAGTGGTTGGTTGCGTTTGAACTTCTTTGTTTTGAAAGTTTGTAACAGCACACCTAACATGGAATGTCTGATTGTTGGCTCGATGTGAACGGAGCTGGTGTACAAGATGGTTCCAAGTTATTGTTGTAAAGGAGCATTTGTAGATCTATGTGATATTTTTATTGTTTGATTTACAGTTTGTCGTCATTCTGTTTGCCGATCTAGTATCGGTATGTATCGGTTTATTTACTATGAGAAATGTACAAGAGCATCAAAAGCATCAAGAGCTCAGAGCTCTTGGTAAGATCGATCGGATCTATCGATCAGATTTTGTTGAAGCTGTTACAGCCGCCAATTTTGAGGCCACACATCATCAAAGTGCTGTCAGAGTGTCCGCCTCTGCAGAACATTGAGGATGCTGCGCTTGCCCAAGGCTCCAAATGAGTTCATCTAGGTACTCGCACGAGACTCGCGCCATTTACGACCCACAACTTCTCAACTCCATCTTCCGATTTCACTTCCGTTCAACTGCGCCAACAAGTGCAAACATTTTCAACAGGCAGGTTATCCCAGTGTAGTGTAATGCCAAGGTGCTCACAATGAATGCCGCCTGCGGCTTTGGTATTGAGACCGATGAAGCGCAGAGCTCGGACCTGTATTTCATGAAGACTTCGTGAAGAGTTCATGTCTTTGTGTGTCTGTGCATCTCCATGTTCCTGCTGTCCAACACAGCTCCTGAAAAGGATTGCCCTCTCAGACCCAGGCAAAGTCAGCCACATTCAGCAGCTCCACTGCTTTTTTGCCACTTTCAAGCAAGATTTCGTGATACTTGAATGATTTTTAATGGCTCACATTCTAGTATTTTAATGCTTTCGCATGATATTTATCTTGTGTTTTGTTTACTTTTCTGTGACAACGAGGCAGCACCTTGGTTGAGCTTCATTTCTGTCAGCTTAGGCGAGAGCACGTCATCCAGTCTCGTTTGGGAGTCGAAGTTCTCACGAAAGATTTACGGCAGCAGGCCCTTCTCCTGGAACTTTTTTGAAGCCAAGTTGCCACAAGTTGCCACAAGTTGCCTCAAGTTGCAGTTGAACTTTATCTTTACAGTGTATATCTTATCTTTATCGTCTTTGCCATATTTGCTTTTCCCATTTTTTGCCGATGTTTTAGATTGTGTTAGTCCTGAAACTGTTAGTATTCACAAAACTCATTGAAACTCAATGAAACTCATTGAAACTCGTTGAAACTCATTGAAACTCCGCTCATCTCGCATACGGCATACGTACTGCATATGTTGCGATTTGGCCGGACTCAGGTGTGCAGAAGACCTCTGTGCAGGGGACATGTTCTTCGCTTGCACAAGCTTTTAGTTGGATGTCGCAACCCCAGAGTCTTCCTTTGCACTCCAACTGCAGTGTTCTGTTATGTTCTTGAATCTTGAATAGTTATTGAACAGTTCTTGAACGGCTCGGATAGGTCTTGAATAGCCATAGTCTCAGGATGACCAGAGTTGAACAACTTGTCCATGCTCTGAGGTGGAGAGGGTGCAGGACATAAGAGTGTCATTGCCAGAATTGCCTCTAGCTTGCAGACAGGTGTGTTCCAGTTTGCTTTGTCCAGAAAGCTATCAAGAGGTACTTGAAGCTGCAGGTGGGAGGGCTCTCTTCCTCCACTGTGTCATGTTCAATAGATTCACACCGCATGGAAAACTATTTGGTCCATATGAGGCCATATGTTCCTTGTTCAGCGAAGTTCAGCCTAGCACTTCAGAACCTGAAGGTTTCTTACCAATCCCAGGTCAGTGCTGTTGATACAAGCATGGACTCCTGCTTGGAGGCAAAGGATGGCAACTGTATTCAGTGACAAATGGTAATCCATGGCGCATGGAAACGCACTGTACACAGAAATCACAGAACTTCTGCATCTCCACTGCTGAACCCGTGGTGATACGTGGCATATATCAAGGTTTCGGACTACTGTGAGGTGTTCTTCTTTTGATACTGCCCATCCCACAACATAAGATACCAGACTATATATTCAAGAAAAGTCAATGATATTCCACAATTCTACATGTATCATCATG